AAACAATCAGATACAGGTTGACAGAACAATGATGATAATTAAGATGGCGCCTTCATCCGGAGTCTCACCCTAGGTGACTCATTAGGAGAAAAGTATCTTTTAATGTAAACAACCCCCATAAAAGGGAATGAGTCTTTTTGGGGAAAATGATTGGAAGATATCAACACGGATGGAAGAACACGCAGAAACCCAGTGGACTTTTCACCCAATCAATGTATATGCTTTGCCTGCATCAAAAGCCCTATAAATGATACTGTTAGTTCCTCAATAAAACAGAATTTTAGGAAGTTGACAAACTGCAACCAGTGTCAGTGTCTTTCTTCCACGTGCACGTAATTCTTTATTAATTTGGCTCACTGGTAGATCACGGTAAATGGTCTGCAAGTGACCGAGTCCAAAACAGGTGCATTTTTGGTTCAATAGACTTCATGGACACGCAGGCAGAAATGCAGATAGAGTGTTTTTTGAGTTTGTGATGTGTTTTTGTTGTGTTTTGCATTTTTTTGTTGCCAGTAGCAATAATTCTCACAGCTAGCTGTGTTCTTCAACGACACGTGAGCCGAGTCATCCAACGCTAAGAGTCTTGCTCTGGTATTTCGACATGGTTCCAGGCGTCAGGAAGACTCGTCGGTTTGACTTTGATACCACTTTGATGCGTCTTTGGTGTGACATTGGATGAATGCAACTCTGATGCAAATTTTCTTTTTTTTCTTTTGCTATGATTCAGAACAAAGAATATAGGAAAGGAACCTGAATATATGAAACAAATTCTAAAAATAAGTCCTCGGTCACACTGGATGCATTTTGGCATGTGATTTGCATGCCATGCGACTTGCAAATCGCATGCCAAGATCCATCCTATTTTCCGCAATTAGAGCGGTCATATCAGTGCGGTTCTGACTTGGTCGGAGCCGCACCGATTTCTAAAGTAGTACATTTAATACTTTTGGTGTCATTTGCATAGACATCTGTGTCAGATGTCTTGCAAATCGCACCTGAAATCGGCATGTCACCCAACTTTGAAATCGTGTGACTGTAAGCCACACAATTTCAAAATCGGGTCTGATGTGACGGGGGTGTAAATCATTTTACCACAACAAATATGATGAAACAAAATGATTTACTTAACAAATGAATCCAAAATGAAACAGAATTAATGTCTTTGTTGTTCACATCTCTAGCGCTCTGAATGGAAGGGACACTCAAGTGTGTCATCTATTCAGACTGCTGTGCCATGTTCATGACTGCTGCACACATGTGCAGAAGAGCTGTCATCCCGTGACCATGACTGCTGCACACATTTGTGGAAGTGACGTCATCCCGTGACCATGACTGCTGCACACATGTGCAGAAGTGACGTCTTCCCGTGACCATGACTGCTGCACACATGTGTGAAAGTGACGTTATCCTGTGACCATGACTGATGCACACATGTGTGGAAGTGACATCATCCGGTAGCCATGACTGCTGCACACGTGTGGAAGTGACGTCATCCCATGACTATGACTGCTACACACATGTGTGGAAGTGAAGTCATCCCGTACCAATGACTACTGCACACATGTGCGGAAGTGATGTCCTCCCATGAGCATGACTGCTGCACACATTTGCGGAAGTGATGTCATCCTGTGACCATGACTGCTGCACAAATGTGCGGAAGTGACGTCATCTCGTGATCATGACTGCTACACACACGTGTGCAAGTGACGTCATCCCGTGACCATGACTGCTGCACACATGTGCATAAGTGACGTCATTCTGTGACCATGATTGCTGCAAACATGTGCAGGAGTGACGTCATCGCAGTTCAGAGAACCCAGAAGAAAGACCGGATGAAGGTGCAATCCCTGTCAGTGGTGACAACGCACCACTGGAGGGATCTGCTTTATAGGTAAGTCTGTCATAATGTACTAGTATGCAGCTGAGTAGGTGAGTAGGCAACCAACTTTAATTTATACAAGCTCTCACAGTAACAGCTTTTTATTCATTTTTTGCTAGTATTCCATTGTGCTGCTATGGAACATAACTGATGAGCTCCTTCTGCTGCTTCTCTCTCTTCCAGGTAATTACAGGAAGCTAAAACCCATCCAAATTCAGGTACTTATACTGCTTTCATTTAAAAAAAAAACCCTGAAAACTTGTCTAGAGAGAAATTTGAACCAGGTGGCATCAGATTGACAGGGGTCACTGACTGTCTGCGCTCTGCTATGGGGATACCAGCCTGCATTCCTGGAATGTCAGGCAGGTAGTATCAGTAGAGGAGGGTCCACTGAAGTTCTCATTAGTTAGGTCCATACCAGGGGCGGACTGACAACTCATGGGACCCTCGGGCAATAGGGGATCATTGGACCCCTGTGTCCTTACCCAAACTCAAAAAAGCCTATGAAAAAGGTACCAGGGGCATCTCATGGGGCCCCCTACTGACCCCAGGCCCTCAGGCAGTTCCCGAGTTTCCAAATGTTCAGTCCGCCCCTGGTCCATACAGGATGTATAATGCACTTCTTCTCCTTGCAGGAAACTCACATTGTAGATGTGCAAGATATAAAATATCATTTTGGATTTGTTTGTTAGGTTAATCATTTCATTTTTACATATTTGTTATGTTAGAATTCTTCATTTTCGGAATTCATTTTGTATATTTGTTATATTAAAAATTATTCAAAATGTGAATTTTGAAAAATGGCTATATTCATTCTATTTTATTTTATTCTATTCTGTTCTGTTTTTTCTATTCTATTGCTTTATTTTCTATCCCATTGTATTCTTTTATATTCTATCCTTTCCTATTCTATTATTTTCTCTTCTATTCTGTTTTATTCTATGCTTTTTTTCTATTCTGTTCTATTTTATTTAATTCTTTTCAGCAGCTGAAGTAGGAATCAGCATTTTATTCCACTTTAATACCTTACTGTATTTATTGCAATATGTTTCTATTTCAAATTCGAATTCAGAGAATTCATTTTGTTATAATTCATTTTAGATTTGTTGAAATTTGTTACTATTGTGAATCGGACATTCAGATACATCAGAGTATCTAAATAATAATGAATTTCGATTTGTAACAGAAAGAATCGCACATGTCTAACTTACATCCCTTTGTCTCCCAGTCTTCACCAGTATGAGCAGCATCCAGAGGAACTCACTCCTTCATATTTGACCACATTGCATATTTTTTTTTTTATATGTTAAAAAAGTGTATCAACCATGGAGATTGTGAACCGAACCGAATTTCTCATCACCAGCTTTAAATGTCATGCTTCTGCTCCAATATACAGTAGAGTGTCAGTTGACATATACTATAATTGGTTCTTCCACTGATGACAGTTTAAATATATTTTCATATTTACGGCTATAGCTATGTGTGATGGGGCTCCATAGCAAACGCCGTCCCTCTAATCAAATTGCCGAAGGCGATTTTTTTCTACTCATACAAAATACTAACTGCTTTCAGAGCAATTGTACAAAGCTGTTCAATCTACATAAGTTAATTGTAGCCACATGTTATAGCCAAGTATCATTGCTATCTACATAAATCACTGTGCCCCTCTCTGCTTCTGGGCCCCACACAGTAGTAGCATAGTCTGCTATAGTTACACAGTGGTTCAAACAACAACAGCAGTAGACCGGGGGCCAACTGACAACTCATGGGGCCCCTGGGCAATATTTGATCAAGGGGCCCCTGTGTCCTTGCCCAAACTCAAAACAGCCTATGAAAAAGGTACCAGGATCCTTCAGCATGCTTCAGAGGTTGTGCAGACCCGGGCACTTTCTTCCATACATGGTGGGAGTGCCCAACCGTCAGGATTTTCTGGACGGAAATATTCAAAATACTTTCCTTATTAAGTGCGAAAAACCTCCATCCTAACCCGCTAACAGCATTACTTAACCTGCAACCACCCGAAGTCACGAAACTACAGTTTAAGATTCTATTACAGGTTACCACAGCTGCCAAACAGGTCATTGCCAAATCGTGGAAATCTACGTCGCTTAACATTACCGCGGTTCAAAACAAGGTAACCCAGGCGATGATCCACACTAAAGTAGAAGCCACAATCTTGAATACTATCCCTAAATTTAGGATGATTTGGGACCCATGGGTAGAACATTTTCTGCCTTCTAACTTTGATGAATCTCTTCTCACCCCATAACCAGCACTTCCATTTATGTTGGTACCGTCCCCTTTTACCCTTAATGCTCCCCTCTTTTTCCTTTTCCTCTTCACTTGCGGAGTCGCACGCCTCTCCCCTGTCTTCTCCCCCCCACACATTCCCCGCCTAATATTGTTCACCAGTTCTTACCTGTTACCGTTCTGAGGTTTACTGATAATACTGTATTCCCAAGAAAATTCAGTGTATGATTATTGTATACTGTATACTTTAATTGTTCTATCTATGTTACCACCCCCCCCGTGAACGAAATAAAAAATTTGAACAAGAAAAAGGTACCAGGGGCATCTCATGGGGCCCCCTACTGACCCCAGGCCCTCGGGCAGTGTCCGAGTTTCCAAATGGTCAGTCCACCCCTGCAGAAGACTATCCTGTGGAAAAGCTATGAGTGCATTCATGTTTTCTCATTATAAAAGAACACATACTATGTGTAGATGTAGCGCCCAAAAGTTAAGATAAATTTAGTTTTGGCTTCACTGTACCCAGTGGGTTGGTGATCTGTTTTTTTTTTTTGTCTGCTCAGGGTTTCCCAGGCTGGGTGATTGATTGTCCCTATTTCTAGAAGGAGCTTCCAGAAAATAGAGCAGAGAGGGTCAACAGAGTCAGTCACTCAATTATGATTATTTTTCCATACCTCGGACAATCCCTGGGAGAGAGCACCCAGAAAGTGGCTAGGGAGGTGATAAATATTTGGAAGGCCTTTCCGGAGTGTTCTTTTCTTTTCAGGGAGGTTCTCCTGGAGTTGCTGCCCTTGGTAGGCAGTTAGTGTGAGAGAAGAGTTTTAGTTCTGGGCTCAGTAGTTTCTGGGCAGAAGATTTTAAAAGGAATTTTGCTGGAGGGCATCATTCTGGAGTCCTGGTCTGGAGAAAGATCTTTTTGTCTTCCTCACTGAAGAGTGTCACATGGAAGCTGGATGGTAGACAGCTCCTAGGACATTATAAGTAAGGCTGGAGTTTAGAAATCCCATGTGTGTCTGCTGCTATAGGATTTGTGCTAAGAAGTTTGTTTTCCTATTGATTTTGGATATCGTTTTGGAGTATCCTGCACCTTTATCCTCACCCCCTTCACGTTTTCTGCAATAAAATTACCAAAAAAATATCTCCTAGACTGAGCCTGTATTGTTGTTGTGCTTGGAACTTTGACTGTGGCGGGCAGCCCCTATACTAGCAAGGGTGACCTGGGCATCTTCTCAGTGGACGCTTTGGGGGTGAGCTCTACATGAATGTTCAAAACACAACCATATTCTATCCTGCTTATAGCTGGCATATTTTAAGTGATCAGCAGGTTAACAGTACATGCTGTGGGGCTTAATATGAACTTGTGGGTAGTTCATGGATTCAAAACTGATATACACTATATTGCCAAAAGTATTGGAACACCCCTCCAAATTATTGGATTTAGGTGTTCCAATCACCTCCATGGCCACAGGAGTATAAAATCAAGCACCTAAACATGTAGACTGTTTCTACAAACATTTGTGAAAGAATGGGTTGCTCTCAGGAGCTCAGTGAATTCAAGCGAGGTACCGTGATAGGTTGCCATCTGTGTCCATCCGTGAAATTTCCTTGCTATTAAATATTCCACAGTCAACTGTTAGTGGTATTGTAACAAAGTGGAAGCAACTGGGAACAACAGCAACTCAGCAACCAAGTGGTAGGCCCTGTTTGCAGGGTCAATAGCTAAAGACCTCCAAGCTTCATGTGGTCTTCAGATTAACACAACAACAGTGTGTAGAGAGCTTCATGGAATGGGTTTCCATGGCTGAGCAGCTGCATCGAAGCCTTACATCACCAAGTGCAATGCAAACCATCCGTTGCCATGGTGTAAAACACGCCGCCACTGGACTCTAGAGCTCTGTTCACGTGTTCCCTGGAGTGAAGAATCACGCTTCTCTGTCTGCAATCCGATGGACGTGCCTGTGTTTGATAGTTAATAGGAGAACGGTACTTGCCTCACTGCATTGTGCCAAGTGTAAAGTTTGGTGGAGGGGGGATTATGGTGTGGGGTTGTTTTTCAGGGGATGGGCTTGGCCCCTTAGTTCCAGTAAAATGAACTCTTGAGGCGTTAGCATGCCAAGGTATTTTTTGGACAATTGCATGCTCCCAACTTTGTGGGAAGAGTTTGGGGATGGCCCCTTCCTGTTCCAACATGACTGTGCACCAGTGCACAAAGCAAGGTCCATAAAGACATGGATGAGCAAGTTTGGGGTAGAGGTACTTGACTGGCCTGCACAGAGTCCTGACCTCAACTCTACAGAGCACCTTTGGGATGAATTAGAGCGGAGATTGCGAGCCAGGCCTTCTCTTCCGACACCTGTGACTGACCTCACAAATGTGCTTCTGGAAGAATGGTCAAACATTCCCATAGACACACTCCTAAACCTTGTGGACAGCCTTCCCAGAAGAGTTGAAGCTGTTATAGCTGCAAAGGGTGGGCCAACTCAATATTGAACCCAATACTTTTGGAAATATAGTGAATATAGTCATGGAAACAAAGTTGACTAAAGGCAAAAAGAGATGAATGGATAAGTTCACCTTATTGGGCATATTTGCACCTTTCATAATAAATAGAAGCATTTTGCAATGCATTTTCTGCCCCAGACATCCCAATGTGCTTTTCTCCTACTTACGTTATCCACAAGAGGGTAAAATTTTGGCAGTTTATTTGAATTTTTAAATTATTTTTAGACTCCATCACTTCCTGTAGATTATCTCTCAGCATTCACTTCCTGTAGGCCATCTCCCAGAAGCCTTCACTTTCTTGTTGCATCACAGAAGAGGGTGTGATAGGGTGTGTTCACCACTCTGGACCACAACTCCCTCGTTATATAACTACCTTCAACCCTTTCTATACAATCTGATTGTACAATCTCCTTTAGATATCCCATCAGCTATGTAGTACACGGGCCTGCCTGATTTGATACAAGTTGAATAGATTGTTCAGGTGTGCCCTCCTATTCCATAGTTCTGGTAACTCAAAAGGACATTAAACAGAGATTGTTCAATCAGATTGCATAGTGTATGGCCATCTTTATACAAGTACAAAAGAGGGAAGAGTGGATGGAGATACTCAGTTGTCAGGCCCCGTACACATTGCCATGTAGCGAAAACTCACATTCCAGAGTGCATTTGTTTTGGGTGTCTTGGAGCATTTTCACTTGTCACACAGAGGGCAGCCCATTCACTTGAATAGGCTGCCCTACACACAACAATCGCCCCAGAGAAACGCCAATTTTTTGGACGTGAAGCACGGTGCGTTAACACAGTTTTTGGTGCATTTTCCGCACTTAGGGTGCCTTTAACATGTAACAACAGCGCCAACACGCTGTACATATGCAGCGTGTTTCTGAAACATATGGCAAGTCATGCATTTTCTGTGCACTTTGCTGTGTGTTCGGAACACACACAGGTGTGAATGGAGCCTCACTGTTCCATATAAACAAACCAATTTGACTTTCAGGCCCCATTCCCACCTAGAGTAGTGGGAGCGCGCGTTTTTGGCTCGTTTTTTCCAGTGACACGTATAGGGCAGCCCGTTGATTTTAATGGGCTGCACTATAGATAGCAAAGTAGCTCATGGAACATTTTGGCATGATGTGGGTTGCATGCAGGGGCGGACTGACCATTTGGCACTGCCCGAGGACCTGGGGTCAGTAGGGGGCCCCATTAGATGCCCCTGGTACCTTTTTCATAGGCTTTTTTGAGTTTGGGCAAGGACACAGGGGTCCCATGATCCCCTATTGCCCGGGGGCCCCATGAGTTGTCAGTCCACCCCTGGTTGCATGCTTTTTACTGCATTTGTCACTCATTGTTTCACGTGGTATAATGTGTGTGCTGGTTTCTGTGTTTGACGTGCCGTTAACAATTAATGGCACTGAAAGCGCAACTAGTTGCCAACTTTAGATGTATAAAGGTGACCATACATCTCCTTTATATTTAACAAAACTATATAATAGGAGGACACACCATCAATCAATTCACTCTGTATCCAATCCCTTGCACTACATAGTTGATGGTAGATCTAAAAGAGATTGTACAATCAGATTGTGTAATGTATGGCGAGCTTCACAGAACCCAGGACACACTTTTCTTGTTTTCAGTACTACAGCTCTATCCACTGTTATCTGATTGCTCATCTCCTGCACACTCTGCCAAAGGAACGATCTATGCAAAATGAAATTAAGATAGAAAAAAAAATTGATGCCTGTATATTGAGTGAGAACAGTAATCATTGATTAATTGCATCGGAAAACCGTGCACCTGTAGAAGTGGGTAGTGATCTGCTGGAAGGGGGGAAGGCAGACACAAGTGTATGCTAAGGAGGTCAGCTGATGAAATCATTCCTGTTTCTTACAGGTTTTTCTGTCCTAAATCTACATGCCAGAAAATGATAAAGCTTTCTAAGAAATTTAGCAAGGGCTAAGATAAGGCCTTGTTCTCAAAATCAAAGAATGTTTTTATTTTTCTGCAACAGATGTACATTAACCACATGCCGCCTAGCCCATGTCTAAATACAGCGGCAGGGCGGCACGGGCAAGCAAAAACACGTTTTAAAACGTGTGTTTTGTAAACAGGTAGGGGGCGTGCGTGAGGCGCGCCACCACCCTACCTGTCCCGACAATCACAGCCGTGGATGTCAGTCGCCGGGTCACAGCCGGTCCTTACCGGCTATCTCCCGGCGATCTACGGCAATCAGTGACAGAGAGCACAGCTGCAGTAGCTGTGCTTTCTGTCAGTTCCCTGACAGCTCCAGGACACGCTGATCGGGACAGAAGAGTTTCTCTCTCCCGATCAGCCTGTCCCCATCCAGCACACACCCCGCCCCCTAGTAAAACACTCCCCCCTCACACAGATAACCCTTCTCTGAAAAAATAAAGTTAACCCTTTCCACCCCAGTGCCATTAGTACAGTGTCAGTGTTTTTTTTTTTTGCACTGATCACTGTATTGGTGTCACTGGGGATGTCAGTGACCCCAAGTCAGTACCCCCCATTGTCAGAATGTCCGCCGCAGTCCCGCCATAAGTCGCTGATCGCCGCCATAAGTTACTGATTGCCGCCATAAGTCGCTGATCGCCGCCATTATTAGTATAAAAAAAAACTAAAAATCCCAGTATCTTTCCCGCCATTTGTAAACGCTATAACTTTCACGTAAACCAATTAATTTACACGTATTGGGGTTTTTTGTAGCAAAGACATGTCGCAGAATGCATTTTGGCAGAAATTTATGACTAAATTTGATTTTTTTTTTTACTGGACATGTTTTATAGCAAAAAGTCCAAAATATTGTTTTTTTTCCTCAAAATTGTCAGCCTTTTTTTTTATAGCGCAAAAAAAATAAAAACTGCACAGGCGATCAAATACCACCAAAAGAAAACTCAATTTGTGGGAAAAAAAAGATGTAAATTTCATTTATGTACCGTATTGCATGACCGCGCAATTGTCCGTTAAACCAGCACAGCGCTGTATAGCAAAAAAATGGCGTAAATTGCAGTATCTATACCATAGTTTGTAGACGCTATAACTTCCACACAAAGCAATCAATATACACTTATTGGGATTTTTTTTTACCAAAAACATGTAGCAGAATACATTTTGGCCTAAATTTATAACCAACTTTGAGTTTACTATATATTTTTTATAGCTGAAAGTAAAAAATATTGTTTTTTCTTCAAAATTTTTGGCCTTTTTTTGTTTATAGCGTGAAAAATAAAAAGCGCACAGATGATCAAATACCACCGAAAGAAAGCTCTATTTGTGTGAAAAAAGGACGTAAATTTTGTTTGGGTGCAGCATTGCATGACCGCGCAATTATCAGTTGAATTAGTGCAGCGCCGAGTAGCAAAAAGAGGCCTGGTCATTAAGGGGGGTAAATCCTCAGGAGGGCAAGTGGTTAATGCAATATTGGTACATGGGGGAGCTGGAATTTAGAAAACAAAGGTGAACTTTAAGCTGCCCACTATGTTTGCCTTCCTTCTTCAACATTTAATTTTACAAAATTTGATTTTATCTCAATCATGTTTAAATTTACCTACTTTTGATGGACTCACAGGGGCACAGGGATTTACTAAAGAGTGCAAAACCTGGTGCAGATTTGCACAGAAACCAATCAGCTTCCAATTTTTTTTTTTTTTTCAAAGCCTAAAATGTTACTAAATGTCCTCACTTGCTCTGTGCTCTTATTTGCTCACACTACTCTAGGTGGGAATGGGGCCTGGTTTTGCACAGAGCAGCCACGATCCTTCTCTTCCCACTGGTGCTCTTGGCCCTTTCCCCTTGACTAGTGCCCCCAATTGCAAGCCTCTTGCTATGGGGGCACTGGTGTGTGCTTTCTCCCGATCCCCATGCTATGCATCCATAAGACACATAAAGCAGCGGCTCGGGCCCATCTCCACTCTCTCCTCACTGGCTGTGATTGACAGCAGTGGCAGCCAATGGCTTTCACTGATGTGTCTCAACCAATGAGGAGGGGGATACCCGGGAGACCTGAGGCTCCCATGCATGGAGCTGGATTGAGATCAGGTAAGTATTGAGAGGAAGTTGTGTGGGGAGCAGCACACAGAAGGTTTTTTACTTTTATGTATAGAATGCATGAAGATTTAAAAGTACCTTCAGCCTTTATAACTGCTTTAATTGAACAAGCTGAGGTTAGAAGCTAATTGGCTACAATTCACAGCTGCACCAGATTTGTGCTTTCCGGTTTTAGTAAATTAACCCCACTTTCTCTGCTGGATGGCTGTTCCAAACAGTTGCTACTCTTTTGGAAATTAATACTTTCTAAAGCTGCTCAAACGTTTCTTCTGATAATTTGAGGTCATACCCCTATATTCATCATATTGGGTTTGATGTCTATCACATTGGGCTGGGATCCCTAATCAAGGTTGTTCTAGCATAATGGGTTGTTGGTTCAAATTCTCCAGTTTCCTTCCACACTTCAAAGACATGCTGGTACGTTAATTGGCTCCTGTCTAAATTGGCTCTAGTGTGTGTATGTATGAAGGGACCTTAGATTGTAAGCTTTTTAAGGGTTAGGGACTGATGTGAATGTTCAATATATATGAGTAAAGTACTGTATAAATTGACAGCTGGGGGTTTATTTACTAAAGCTGGAGAGTCCAAAATCAGACTCCCTTCTGCATAGAAACCAATCAGCTTCCAGGTTTCATTGCCAAAGCTTCACTTAACAAGCTGAGGTTAGAAGCTGATTGGTTTCTATGCAGAAGGGAGTCTGATTTTGGACTCTCCAGCTTTAGTAAATAAACCCCCTGGTGTCTAGCTTGTAGTCGCCAGCTCTGGCCTGTCTCTTCTGGTGATGGTTCATCACTGGGATGGTGGGGAAACAGGAATAGACTAACCAGAGCCATCAATTAGGAAGTTGGTCGTCATCAGCACGCTGGTGGTTTTTAGTAGTTCTGTGCCAAGTAATGTGCCAGTGTAAATCTATTTTTCAAAACAACAGGTGGATTTAAAGTTAATTGTTGAATGGTTGCTAGTCAACATCCTCCAGCAATCTTTTTCGAGCCACTGTTATTACAGCAAGCTCTTTTTACCAGCAAAGTTCAGTCTATGGAAGTGAAGACACATCTCAAGCTTAACTACCACACTTGATGTCACATCTTATGTGCATGCTCCAGTGTTTCTTCAATTAGTACAGCAAAATGTCACAGACCAATCATAAAACAATTACATTCAACTGCATTTTTGAAAACCTCAATTTTAAGTAGCTACTTTTCATTTTTTCCTCTCAATTTCAAGATCACAGGAACATGATGTGTGCCTAATTAGGTTTTTACCAAGGAGGAAATTGAATTGCCAATGTGTTCTATTACAGTGACAGCAAATCTAAGGCGCCTTCAGTTCAATTTCATTTCCCTCACTATAAAGGAAGATTCTCTCCTATGAGGGAATTTTGGATCTTGTTATGACACCTAGAGCTAGAGCGTATTGCTATGTGGACAAACAATAAAACTCTTCTCTTGGCATTTTAAGAGTGAGGCTACCAAGGAACTCTGGGATTCTGTCTCAATGCAAGCAGCAGAGCTCTGTAGATGCTCATCTTCTGCAAATTAAAGTGACCCCATCAATAAATGAAAGTTTGCTCTAAAAGATGTACTTGTTAAAGAAGAGACCAATTGCTTACCTATTCCACTGCCCATGCCACCAAATGCTATGCCATTCAAGAGATTTCCCTGGTGGAAGTCTTCTAGGAAACTGACACTTCCAGGAACATTGATTTTATTGATCCCCCATTGTTTCCACTGGTTCCTAAATCTGAATTTCATGTAACTAATGAGTTCTGCAAAGATGTTAAGGTCAGGGAGAGAAGCCATCAAGAAATCTTCCAATGAGGACACGTGTTCCCAAGAACCCTGCCTCAATGGGGATTTTCCTCACACTGGAAACATAACCTCTCACTTTCCGTTAAGTCTACAGGACAGGAAGTGAGGGAAATCTGTTTAATGAGATGCAGGTGCTCTATTAAAAAGGTTTGACCTTACAGTAGATATACTTTGGGAACTTCTTTATTGAGTAAGGTAGATAGATCAGGCTGTGTTCCAAACAACAAACTAATATTTTTTTATTCATTTCATGGGTTTTAATTATGCTTATGACTCATGCACACTGTACTAGATATGTGCAGTTTGTTTCATTCCGAAATGAAATTCGAACACATTTTCCACTATTTAGAGATTCAGATGTATCCAAATTCCAAATTACAATAGTAACAAATTTAAACAAATCTGAAATAACAAAACAAAATT